TCGTTCATTGGACTTTAATAAACAATCAAATCAAAATTTTTTACTATAGCTTCATTACCAAAAAGTGGGACTTTACAGAACGTTACAAATTTAATTAGACTAACCTTTACAACATTTGTACAGCCGATCTTGTGAACTGCTCTTTCCTCTGGTACAGGGTGGATGTGATGAAACCTGACACTTAGGTCTCTGTGACTTCCTAGGGGGTGGCTTGAAATTAACACACGGAAACAAAATCCACGGTGCCTATCCTTCCTCGGAACGAAAGCAAAGTTTAGTGTTTGAACTGAAGCTTAGTCCAGGAAATCCTTCGCGTGGCGAGTGGGAGACGGCTAGTTGCCAAAGTTTCTACACAGTGGTGTATTTAATTTAAACAGTGACCCCTACTATTTCCTTCCACCGGCTCTTAGAGTTTATTAACTTTGATCGCCTGCGGGAGACAGATTTTTGAGTTAGCGGCACGGCAGAACACAAATTTTTATGATTACTATCCGACGGTAAACCGCGATTTGTTCTTGGGAGGTTCGACTTATTATTTCACCAGCTCTTCTTAGGGCAAATATCTCTCCAAAACGCAGCGCTCCTTCGACAAATGACCGTACGGCACTAGTAGGAAATTCCACCTGGGGCGGATCCCGAAATTCTGCGCCTTGAGGACTAGGGCAGCACTTTGAATTATATATCCTCGAGAAATCACAACGTATCCTAACGCGATTCACTGCATCCAAAGTAAACTGGGGTGAAGCTCAAGGGTTCGCCAAAATATCACCTGATCGGAACCTGGGTCTTCGTCGCCCAAAAATCAACGCGAAAAGAAAATAACACTTCGAAACGGGTGCAAAAAGCACGCAACTGCGAGCAACCGAAATAAACCGGTGGCTCAAAACGCTAAGTGTACCAAAACGATCGCTCAAGGTACGTGTTGACCGCTTGACGTACTAACCGCGAGTCTCTTCAAAAACGATCCCCTTCTTCAGAATTGAAATGAGAAAACCACACCCAAATTACCATAAAACAAAAATGGCTCCCGCTAGAAATTCTCTCATTGGTTTAGATAAAGAAGACTTAACCCACTCTAACTTCGTCGTCAACCTCCAGGAACTGCTGAATAAACTGATCTCACGGTTTTCTGCTGACGAATTAAAAACCCTTATCTCTTGATGGCTCGGTGCTATATCCTTCCTATTCTCGGTCTAGACGGCGCCAAAGTTGATAAACGAACGACAACAACTCGCATTACTCATGATGACGTCAATCAACTTTGCACTCTTCCCACGACGAAATTAAATCTGAGCGAAATTAAATCTATCGGACCATAGTCTTGAGCGAACCGAAATGCCCAAACACAAAATTTCTAACCGAAACAAATAATGAAATATACAGGGTGACCTTCACTATCATGACAAGAAATTTCGAATTTTTTAATGAAATTTGGCGCGAAATAAAACCACTCGTTACAATACGCATTACCCCAACTTCGTTATGTTACACTAAAAAACCTGGCCCATACACCGGAGTGAAGATAAACACCGGAGTGAAGATAAACACCGGAGCGATCATAGGAGTTCGTCACTTTGGGGTCAAATGCCTCAACCACAATAAGTGATAAAGTAAAAAATCATCAAAATGATTAAAGAATGTGCAAGTAACTTCTGTTATAAGGGTCCGAAGACAATATTTTGATATGTTATATGACGTAATATGTAGGGATGATAGATCACAGTGATATTCCTCAAAAACTGTACATTGGATCAAAATGACATTTTTACCCTAAAAAGAGGAGGTTCTAAGCGCACAAGTGCAATATTTGCATATGCTGTATAACGTACGTATGATAGATCACTGTTACTTCTCCAAAACTGTACATATAGATCAAAGTGCATCTTATACTCGAAAAGGAGACCAAATAGGCCTTCCCAAAACAATTTTGAAATTTTCTTGCACTTCCGTCATAAGGGCACAAGTACAATATACGAAACTGCGTAATACATATTCTTGAATGTTGGACATTGGAAAGAAGAAGACACTACTTAAAGGGGTAATTCACAAACAATCGAGAAACTCGAACCCCGAGATACAATACCCCGCTGGACCTAGCCCCCCAACTTAAGAATGGGATCCAATTTATGAGCTATTTAGGAGCTTTTCATATCGCAAGCTTAAAAACTAAAAATTGAACATTTCTTATGGGGTGGCCGAGTCCACTTGAATTCAGCCCCCCCCCCCCACTGATCCGAATTACCTTTTTCAAATTAAATTTTGTACTGGAATTACGAGCTATTTAAGAGCTTTCATTTACAAGTAATTTCGATTTTTGAGCGCCACTCTTAAAAAGGCAAGTTGATAGGCCGGCCAGTTCCACTTGGACGCAATCCCTCCTCTGGTATCCTTTACTTATTTCAAATTAATTTTCAGGCATGAATTACGAGCTACTTAAAGGCTTTCATTTACAAGTAATTGCAATTTTTAAGCGTCACTCTTAAAAAGAGCAAATAGATGTCATCTTGGGAGCGGCCCAGGTCTATTCTGGCGTAGCCCCTAATCTGTTTTTCTTTACTTATTACAAATTAACCTTGTCCATGAATTACAAGCTGTTTCATTTAATAAGTAAGTCTAATTTTGGAGCTCCACTCTCAATAGGTGAAATAGTCAACCCTGGTTGAGGGCGGCCAGGTCAATTTCGCAGTAGCCTTACCTCTGAGCTACCGGTTAGTTGCATCAGCACGCACTCTCTGTGGTTGCATACGACTGTGAGTTTTTAGTGAATTTGTTGGTGTAAAAAGTGAAAACTTGGGGTAGTCTTGAATGTTTCCTCATCAGTGTTAGTAGCTAATCGGACCAATCTATCTCTTCATTGCGGAATCCAGAAGCGTTTCTTTTTGTATCGTAAAAACCTAAATTCCAAGGGTCAGAGGGCCGACGTGGATGCGTGGCTGAATAGATGATCAGCAACTACTGGCCCCAACTTCGGAGCACCGGGCGCCACACCGTTGTATTAAGTCGCCTTACCCTGCACTGAAGACTGGGGCGCAAAAGCAACACCGGTCTGATGGCAGCGCTGCTGATCACATGCGCAAACCAGGTATTGGTGGACTGCTTGAGGTCAGAGCTAGCGAGAGCAGCTCGGGGGGGGGGGGGGGGCGAAATGCTGTAGATTAATTGATGATGGCTACACCACAGTGTTGCCTTTACCGATGACATAGTGATAGCGGATTAGAGGAGACCGTATCACTCGTGAGGCAGGGAGCTTTAAATCTAGTGGAAACATTGTGCGAAGGGGAGGGCTTGTCTGTTAATTCAACAGGAACAAACCTCATTAGCTTTTCTCACATACAAAAGGGCCGACAAAGCTAACGGACGTTGCAATGTAGGGCACCAAGCTACAGGTAGTAAAAGAAGGTAAATACTTGGGCATCTCGTTCGGCCAAGCGCTTACCTTCAAATCACAAATGGAAAAAATAGCGAACAACGTCACACGGTCCCTGTGGGGAGCACCCACTGGATATACACTAAAATAATTATACCAGTTATTACGTATTCGTCACTGGTGTGGTGGAATTCTTTGCCCATAAGAACATGCATGTACTTATCAAGGTGCAGCGCAACGCTTGCCTTAGAATTACGAGGGCAATGATAACGATCCTGACAGTTCCTATGGAGACTATATGAACTGGTCGCCACTACACCTGTTAATTATGGCAGAGGCATTCAGACGGACATACTGGCTGAGGGACAATGGAGAGGAGGAATCCTCAAGGGTGAGACCTTCGCTTAATCTTTGATGAAATCTCTAAAAATAAAATCCTCGGTAGGATAACTGAGAGGATAACCAAAACAGTTTGTGATAAAAAACTGTTTAAGATGATAATCCCTGCTCGATACAGATGTGCATTACACCAATGGCTCAAAAACTACGGAGGACACCGGCTGTGGAGTGTACGGAAGAAATGGGCATGGCTTCAGAATCTAGGACAAAAAGCACCCGTGCTTCAAGCAGGGACCAGGACCGGACCGAAAAAGAACCGAAAACCGGACCGAAACCGGTATTTTTTTCTGGAGCGAAAACCGAACCGAAACCGGTATTCCTTCAGAAATGGAAACGTATTGAAAACCGGAACCCATAATACTTTTTTCGGTTTTTTACCTTTTTTAACAGGTTATTGGAAGTTGAAGGACGCGCCGACAACCACGTCCTGAAAATTGATAAAATATTGCTCTATGATTGCCATCGGTGGATTATAAATTTTTAATAAGGTGTCGAAATTGAAGGCATTACGGGTGGCGGTGGCGTTGATTTAGCCACTACTTAAAAAAAATAAAAAAGGAGGGGCGGGGTTTTAGAAAAGACAATTTTCTGTGGGGAGTCCAAGTAGACTCGACCACCCCCTAAGAAATGTTCGATTCCTAGTGATTAAAGCGAGCTCTAAAATTTTAAGCTTACGATATGAAAAGCTCCTAAATAGCTTATAAATTGGATACCATTCTTAAATTGATTCACAATGGTGCGGGGGGGGGGGGGGGTCAAATCTTGACAGTCAATATGTAGTCAAACAGTTGGAGAAATGAGTTACATTACCGCCACAGAAACAAATTGATGCGCTTCAAAATTAAATCCAAGATTCATAAATTGTGGCAAACCAGAAATCAATGCGACTTGACTTTTGTACTACTATTAATACTTGTGAAAACGTAAAATTCCTTTTCCAAGATAACCTTGCACTAGCCAAAATTCAAGTGGACTGTTGTGCGAAATGTGGCGATGTGCTCGCGGATCACCGTTGCCTCGGCACCCCAATGCACCTATTTTGACCTTTGCGGTCTTACAATCAAATATGATATTGTAAGCAAACCTCAATCTCCAAACTCCTGATAAAAATTTATCTCACATCATCGTAGAGACGGTACAAATTAATCTTAATGTCTCGACACCAAATATGAACGCCTATCAGCGCCACTCAAGGTTAAGCAGATGATATGAAGATTAAATACTTGCAAGTCATAGTAACCATATATATTCTAAGTGAACAGTAATTTGATAATTTAGAGAACTGAGTTCAGTGTATCCGCAGAGAATTTGTGAAACCCTGATTTCGTATTGAGTCCAGTGGTCCGTGTTACAATGGCATGTTTGATTGTGTGCGCCTTGGTTGCCGCACTAGCAGTACTTGTAACCGCTTACATCCAGTGGGGGTACACGTACTGGAAACGAAGGGGTCTCCCCCACATTCCACCCACGTTCCCGTACGGTAACTATGAACCAATATTTTCGAGAAAACAACATTTCGGCGAATGGGCGAAGAGTTTTTATGACCAATTCAAATCTCGCGGAGTGAAACACGCAGGATTGTACGTGCTATCGAAACCAATCTATCTACCAATTGCGACCGATTATGTAAAAAACGTCCTCCAGAACGATTTCCGCCACTTTGTCAATCGAGGAACTTACTACAATGAAAAGGATGATCCCTTAAGCGCTCACCTGTTTAACCTCAGTGGACAAAAGTGGAGAGACCTACGCACCAAGTTGACACCAACTTTTACTTCGGGTAAAATGAAGAGGATGTTCAACACGCTATTGGACTGTACTGTGCCAATGCGCGAAGCGGTAGCAAGCCACTGCGTTGACGGAACCCCAGTAATGATCAAGGAGGTTATTGCCAGATTTACGACGGATGTAATTGGTTCGTGCGCGTTTGGTCTAGAATGTAATAGCTTCAAAGACGACGATGCCGCCTTCCGCCATCACGGGCGAGCGTTGTTTAACACCCAGGACAAGCTAAATCGAGCTAAACGAGGGCTTGCTAATATCTTTCCAACCCTGTCCAGAATGTTAGGTGTTGCGCTACTTCCCAAAGAGAGCACTCAATTTTTCTTCAACGCAGTGAGGGACACAATCCAACATAGGGAAAAAAATAATGTTGTTAGGAACGATATGTTACAAATTCTGATTGAATTACAAAAAAGTAACAAGGAAAGTGGAAAACCGATGTTAACCATGGAACAGATGGCTGCTGAAGCTTTTGTATTCTTCATAGCCGGATTTGAAACCTCCTCATCAGTTACCACTCTCTGTTTGTACGAGTTGGCAAGAAATGAAGACATCCAAAACAAAGTTAGGGAGGAGATCGAGAGTACTTTAAGAGAAAACGACGACGAGATCACTTATGAGGCAGTCATGGGCATGAAATATCTGGACCAAGTTGTTAACGGTTAGTAGGTCGCTTTGGTGCATATTCTAATGTCTTTGGTTTCTAGAAACGATGAGGTTGTATCCATCGCTGACATTTTTAACCCGGGAATGCGTCCAAGACTATCCGGTACCAGACACGGATGTGGTAATCGAGAAGAATACTCTGGTTGTAATACCATCTATTGCCTTACACAAAGATCCAGAGTTTTGGGACAATCCTGAAGCATTTGACCCTGAGCATTTTTCGGCTGAAAATACTCCTAAAATTACACCATTCACATATATGCCATTTGGTGAGGGACCTCGAACATGCATAGGTACGTTTATCCAGTGTACTTTGAATTGGTAATTGAGTAACTCCTTGCAGGTATGCGATTTGGAACAATGCAGGTTAAAGTGGGCTTAACGACTCTTTTGAAAGACTATGCGTTTTCTGTTTGTTCAAAAACTGTACCGCCCGTTTTGGATAAATATTTATTCATCTCAAATACTCGAGATCCTGTATGGTTGAACGTTAGGAAGATAACGTAAACAAACAAGTGTATCATTCGTAATCATTGGGGTATTTATTGGCTTTGTCAGCCTGCATTCTTTCGGTTTTAAATCATTTATTTAGAATGAATAAGATTTTATTCAAGCAAGAGTATTATAACTTAGGGATGATTTATAAAACAAAAGTATTAAAAGCTACGCACACTTGCACTTTTTGTTTAAATTCCTCTCCAGTGACGAAAACTTCAAACGTTAGCTCTTTTCATAGACCTTGGGTATGCCTTTTTCAGTTCTGTAAGAATTGTTTCTACCCTTACACAAATCTATTTCGACATCTGTGGAAGATCATGGAAGAAATACTAAATTAATGTCTAAATTTTGAAAAATAATTCCAATGTTTTATACCAGAAAGTGTAACGTTTAAATGTATACAAAGGTTAGCGGCGCTATTGAGTCGTGATATATGGCGTGCTTAGTTCCAATTACAAGGGGCCTTTATATATTTTGCGGTCGTTGTTATCTTTGATAAGTAGCGCGTGAATTGCTCATTCAGTGTTATTCCACTCCACGAGGAGTTGACTTATTGACGTGTAGAAATTCCATTCGCTACAAAAAATGAGTTTTACTGGTGCAAAAGTTTTACGTCCTAGAATGTGTGTGAATCAGTAAAGTGATGGGAATTAGGTTTTTGGCAGATATTCATGCGGCATTGCGCGTTAAGTCCCGAGTGCGTCTACGGTGAACTGCTAGAAAAAATTGGTGCTAAACCTCTGGGAAATTCGCCTGCGACAAACCATTAGCGCCAAGCTGTGAACAAAGCCGGTGACCCGTAGGTAACCCTGGCGATTGTTTTTAATTTATGTAAAACTCACGTGAAGCCGCATTTAATTTATCCATTGTATTTTTTTGTCACAGAGGCGAAATCCTCACTAGGCATTCAAGGTTAGAGATGGATAATCTACAACAGCCTTCTTTTCTTGAAGTCGCAATTCCCAGTGAGCTGATCGAAGCGACTCTTATAAATCCGCACCTGGGAAATATTCAATTCTTTTGTCTATCTTGGGCGATCGAGAGAGAAAGCACTTTGTGCATTGCGCTTGAGGGAACTACAATTTTAAACTAATTACCATTTACTGATACAGGTGGCACTTCGTGCACTGTTCTTGAGGCAGGCACCCCTTTTTGATAATAACTGAGCTGTGGTATTTATCATGGTTCCAGAATTTTTTTCCCGAAATTTCATATGCAACTGCCTAACAGTAATCCCTTAGGCAGTCGCCGTACTGCTCTTTACATTAAAGTATTAATTTTTTTTCCACAATTTTAAAAATTACAATCAGATACCGATATCGTCTCCAAAACACTTTTAACCCCGGTTGGCGTGAACAAAGCCCCGGATGCGGCCGGACTGAAGTTGCAGTGGCTGTTCGTCCCTTTTGTAGAATCCTGAATCTCGTGTGAGCTAAGGGACGAATATCGAATAATAGGCAACCCATCTTACACCGAATTCCGTCGCACATATATTGACCGACGAAATCGAGGTGGTGTTAGTGGCAGGGATAATCAATGCCAACTGTTATATAGCATCCTTCCCTGCAAGTCAGAATACTGGGCCCGACAATACTCGTACAGGAGCAACTAATGAGCAGTTACATCGTCCCCGACGGTCTGCTATACCGGCGGGGCAAAAGGAGCACGTCTTTTTGCTGCTCGATATTTACGAAATTGTTCTCTACGTTTATCACGACTCGCCGACCGCCGAACACCATGGAGTGGAAGAAAAGAAAATTAGCCCCAGTACCAATGACCTAAAATAACGGTGGGCAAGGAGAAGATGCCGCCACCTGTACCACATTTCTGCCTCGCGCAAGTACCACTTGCAGTTATCCATTTCCTCCTATTGCCACTTTCAGTTATCTCCAAAATGTGACCAGCCACCTGATACAGCTCGTGAAAGACACTTTGTAACGGGGATATTCCCTATACAGAAATTTAAAAAAAACAAAAGATAAATTTAGGTATGAATGTCACATTGAGCGCACCAATGTGTATTATAGCATTGAAAGGAAATTATAATTGTAATTATGACCCGAGTTGGGATATTATTACCGCCAGGAAGGTAAAAGAGAATTAGCAATATAAAGTAATAATTGCGATTAGAAATGCAATTCTATTTCACATGTAAATAGAATAGGATCATAAATACTGCTTTACGTATGTATATTCGGAATGAGGTTAAACACGTCTGCTTAGTACCGAGATCGAACTAACAAAATCTGGTAAAAGAGTTGTGCTGATCTTATAAACGATCCGTCGTAGCATTATAGGCGGAACTTAATTACAGTAGAGACTGACAGAAGGGGTATAAATATAAGTGAAATCGTATGTAAGTTAAACCTACAAGACCGAAGATTAATCCGAGTACCAAATATCATCTCCATAGAGCTGTATCAGTGTCCGGATGAAGTTTCTATCAGCATTTTTGAGAAAAGTGAAAACGTGGAGATTTCCGCCCGCCCACCATTCAATCCGTTCAGGAAGGACACGGTTCAATGTGAAGATTACTGAGGGAGTATATTTTTCGTGCAGATGAGACTGTAATGGTCAAAAGACACATCACAGAAGGGATTGCCACCATTGTTAACATGTCGCCGTACGATTTCCACGATTTTGTGTTCGTGAAGAAACACTTGAAAGGTAGCCCTTTCATGTCGGACGTAGAGGTGCAGGACGAGGTCGGTGAGGCCTGGGAGCGAGGCGAGGCCAAAGAATTCAGTCACATTTATATCAAACGGTTACAGAAAATATCATCAAAAGAGGTCATATGTTCCAGGAAAACTGTTTTGTAAATCCAAACTGTTTGAAGTACAAGAAAACAATAATTTTAAAGCTTTCATGGATTATGTGTAAGTGACCCTCACGGAACTCCTGACACTTTCGGATAAAAAATTATAATTAACTATACAAAATCGCTTCCCATATCACCGGGATCAGTATTTCTATCCGTTAATTAAACGAATGCGGCCCTTGTCTAAACAAAATGTATTTAAGTAGGTGTTCCATTTTCCAATTTGTATGTAAATTACGGATACTCACGCGAACGCGTAATTTTTGTACAAAATCCCTACCAGTAATTAGTAAACAATCAAAAATCTTATCGGAAACTTTAGTGATCAACAAATTTAGATAGTCTATGTTCACTAATTTTAAGACTCATGTACAACCTGTTATTACTTCTGATTGATTAGACGGCGAGTGTTTTCACTTCAAATAATGAGAAAATTGGGTACTTTTCAGATAATTTAATTAACTCCAAATGTGCGATTTTGGGATAAAAACTTGTTGGGATAAAAATAACTTGGGTTGCTGCTATCGGTGAAAATATTTAGCCCCTTACTTTAAAAACCAAGCATATAATTATATTTTGCTTAATTATTTTATGTTTTATAAAAAAGACTGATTATTTATGCTATACATGATACGACCTTGATTTAAATTGAATGTTGTAAGTCATTATTAGATAAACATGCAAAATTATTGCTTATATTTAAATTGATAATACATTGTAAGGTGATAGGTAAATGTGCAGATGTTTCCTATGTGTCGAATTTCCTTATCTTTGGAAATTATTTGTTAGGTTTTATTTTTGTATAAAATTGGAGATCTGTCTTAAATGTAAATGGGTTTAGATAAGAAAATAATGGATAACATTTTGTTTATGTGATAAAGTAGTGTTTTAATAATGGGGCAAAATTAGTGGATTTGCGCGCCTTCATAGAGAAAAGTGGAAGGGGTTCGCGATAGCGCTTGTTTATGAAAGGCAGTTTTGGAAGAAAAGGTGAGGTGACCTTCTTTGTACAAGATACAAGGGATACAAGAGAACGTTCCGTGAAACTGCATACAAAAAATCAGGTGGTTATTAATAATTGTTATGACCTAGTGATTTCGGCACTTTGGTTCGAGTTTGTGGGTAGATGTTCCGGTAATGAAAATGTAATCACCCGTGGCTTAACGAGCTATCTTCGTCGTAGCTTGTTTTCGTGGTTTCAAACGAATTTTTTATGACAACTGTTAGACTGTCGCGGCTCTCTTAGAACGAACTGTTTCTTTGATCAAAACAAAAACTACCCTTGACTTTCTCAAGGGTCAAAAAGTCAAAGGGCCATAATCTCATTAGTTGAACTTTACACTTTAGCGGGCGCTGTAGGGTTCCGTGGTAGGTGGGGAGCTACAGGGACGAATTTGACTTTTCTGACATAGAGATTGATCAAAATAATAAACTACAGGGAGCGTCCCAGGCTACCCCTTAAGTTACGTTACAGGTCCAAGCCCCAACAACAATCCCAACCACGGAAGTCCGGCACTAAGCAAAAGAGGACTCCGGTCAGGTGGGCAAACGGGTAGGCCTATAGAAAAAGAGGCGGAGGTTGCGGTTGACTGAACGTTGTTTAGGGCCGGTTCTACAATGCGAGAATAAGCTTATACTCGGTTAAATTTTTGAGTTGCGTTCTACAGTCATTCGATCACCCTAGAATAGCTATACCTCGTATATCCGGGAGTAGCTCATTTGTACGCATATTAGTTCACTTTGTGCTGACATTTGTACTGACTACAAAATTTTTTGTGATTTGTGTATTGATTTCGCGGGTCTTAGAAGTGATGGAAAGTGATGAGGGTAAAAAAGGTGCAGTAATTTTACATCTGATGAAGTAGATGTGCTAGTTAGCTTGGTTGAAGAATTCAAGGATATAGTAGGAAGTGTTATGAAGTTATTATGAAGAGAGGCGATTGCATCTGTCACCTGGGTCTCAATGCCACAGGCAGAGGTTTTGCTAACACCTGCAAAATCTGCAACTGAAATGAGCATGTTGCCTGTTGCATAAAAACGTAAACTTAAGAGCAACTTTGTTGTTGGTGTTATCGCATGATTTCTGTCTCTGGTACTTTGAATTCTATCCTGAATCATTTCTAGGAGCATTTCACATGTACGCTTTTGCAGACAAAATCGTGTAAAGAATTCCAAATCGTCTTCAAAGAAATTTGGTCTGTAAACCATCGAATAGGCATTCTAGTTATGTAAAGCAAAATAACGTCAGCTTACCGACGTCTGAACATTTTCGGATTATGTCCGTTCTCAAACTCATCCCAGTCATCTTTGGCAGAGTCGAAAATATTTATGTTCATTGGGGATTTACGGTTATCCCCATCCCCATTTTGATTTTGATTAAAAAATCACAAAAAACACGTGCTGTCAGCTTGGCAAGTAAGTGACAAACGAGAACGACATACAAAACCGCTACCAATAGAATGGGAGAATAACTTTGATGCCTGGTATATCCAAACAATTTCAAAGGGATAACTTATCCGCCATTTTACACCTGGAATAACGCTATTCTGCAAATGTAGAACCAAACTTTCGAATGTTACTCCAAGAATAGCTTGTCCGTGGTACATACTAGCATTGTAGAACCGGCCCTTAGTCGCGTTTTACGATACACAGTGCACTCTGCGGTAATGTTATCTTTTCCCGCCCCTAGGCGGTAAATATTTACAGAAGAATATACTATAAAATATCAATAAAATTGAACTAAAATTTAAAAAAAAATGTGAATTGAAGAAAATACGTTCATGGGCTCCCGTTACAACTTCTGTTTTAAAGCAAAATCACTTCTAAGATCAGCAGACTATGCATTTTTCTGCGGTAGTAGTCAATTGTCTTCTAAAGAGATATGTATAATTGCAAAATAAATGCATCAAGATGAAGTATATCGCTTACCTAATATCAACGTTAGGTATATTATTTCGTAAATGCAAAACACATCCGAAGTCACCTACTAAAAAAACCTGGCAACGTTGACTGCCATATTGATGACTGTTACTTTCTAGGACACACAACGGTTTTCACTTAAGTGATTCAATCTAAAACTCAATAAGGGCTGTGAGTAGAAAAATGGCTTTAGAAGGTGATAAAATTAGGCGTGTAATAAGCACGAAACGTTTTGTCACCTCTGCAGCAATCTACGTGAAGCTTTCAACGCCAACGGAAGCCATGCAGCACATCAATATCATTTTAGAAATTTGCAATGCTAAAATTCAAATTCTCTCCTTTGATATTATAAGTAGAACTTTTATCATCATAAATCATAATCCCGATGATGAATGGACTGTGACTTGCACTTGTTAGAATTTTAAATGTAGACCTCTCCCTATATATGGACTGATTTCTTTAGAACGGCATAATGTAAACGCCATTATTCCGCGCCTTTTGTTCTCGAAACGTATAAACATGAGTGGCTGGTAAATTGGGAAGCATTAAATAATCATCAGCCTTAATAGAATATGGGAAAGATACTATAAATCTCGTTAATTGAATTATACGCAACACAATCGCGGAGTGAAGTACAAGTAACGAAGGAGGAAATGAATTGCTTTGACGAATGAGCAACGCCGTTTGTTACCATTTTGTATATAAATACATCTAGTATCATGCGAGAAATGTTTAATGTCACGATTCATTAATCTTTTTATAAGCAGGACAACGTAGCCGTCAGAGCAAAACATTACCCACGGAATTTGATTGAAAAAGTTGTTACAATGTTTAAAATAGATAGACATGTTTAGCTGATTTTTTTCTTGTTTAAAGGTAAATTGTTTGACGTATTTGGTTGGGTGTGCTGTAACGTGGTCAAGGACGCGGAGTAAACGGGGCACAAAATAAATCGGGAAACAAAGAACAAATAGCCCTAACCACGGCTGCGGCTGTTCACGGAGAGACTAGGCGGGTAAGAGATAAAATTTAAAGCGCCACTAATTTTTATTTTCCGTGTTAGGGATCTGTGCTTCAAAATTAGAAAGTAGCCCTCTGGTGGTCGAGGAAGCTAAGGCTAAAAAGAAGGGGAGAACTAGGACATACCAATTAAAGGAAGCATAACATATTATTTAATTTCGCCTGGAACTTTAAATATAACAAAATTGTAACCCAATAAATGATAATAAAGGCAAACTGTTTGCGTTAGGTTTTTTTTTGAGGGAAAACAATGATCTAGGGGAGGAAAAGGGATGGGGGTTAGGTAGGAACTACTATTGTATAACGGATAACACTCAACGAAAATATATATAATTACCAGACTACTTAAAATACTGGTTTACTGCTTATTGCGAGATCACACATTACATAATGGCAGTGATGTTACCTTTCTTGATTTTTAATTTATTTATTTTTTATTTTTTTATATATGGAGAATGATTGGAGGCGAAACAAGAGGGGAAATATAACAAACAATTTGTGACAATACCAAATACTTGCAGTTTATATGGCTGGGCCCAGCAGGCGACGTTAAGGGTAACGTTATATAGAGCAGGGAACGGTAAAGAACAAGGGGAAAATAGGGTGAAGAATAGAGGAACGAAACTTAAGCGGTAGGGGAAGTACCGAATAGAAAAGGAACAATTAATTAGGGAAACTGAAACGAGGGGTAAACGGCGTCTTCTTGTCTTCGGAGCCGGCTGATGGTGTCGTCTAGGGGCTGCTCACATTGAAGGTAGTAGGTAGACACCAGTACATTAAATTACAAAAAAGAAGGCCCTAAAAGGGGAACGAAAAATAGCAACATGCAAAACGACAAGCAAACAAGCCTTAAGGAAGAGTCATCCGGTGTGCGACGAACTACAGGGATTTAATGACAATTAGACGATGAAACGGAAGCGCACACCGAAGGATTGTAAAATTAATCGTAGAACAATACTGCGTGATTTAAGAAATCCCTAAATCGTATTTAAACTTTTTGCCGGTTGCTACGTTTCATGCAGAATTTTATTATCCCCCGTATAAATAAGAGAGGCGCGCTCATTTGCTTAATAAACTTTTATTGTAACTAACCACTTCAGGTAAAAACGCAATGAAACATTCTGTACTTTTGACCACAACGCTTTCGTAGTCAAAAATTTATTTATACGTGTTCACTCTGATTTTGAATTTGAATGCAACAAAAGGAAAATATCAGAGACTTACTATAACTAGACTGCGCGTAACGTATCGAATGTGTTGTCGACACAGTATGCAACACACAATGCACTGCGGGGCAAACCGCAGAGATACATGTATAAAGAAATAAGCTGTCATTTTTGATGTTCCGTCTATTAATCATTCTTTTGATTAGCTGTCGAGAATAAACTATGGTTAAATCGTGCGTAGCCTTTAAATGTACCAACAGGAACTCTAAATCTGTTTCATTTCACAGGTAAGTACGTATAAGTTTTCTTTGAAAACGCGCCACGAAATAATATGTTCAAACGCAAACTAAGATACTTGCACGCGAAAAGGTACACAATAACTGATCTGGAATATATTCTGTATTTAACACTAACGTATAAGCAAAATGCCCTAAATCCCCACTCTAATAATTATTTAGGTATTTTATGTAACTTTAAATAATATGCAGATTTCCGACGGATAACAATTTAATGGCCCAATGGATCAGAGCAATTGGCAGAGAAAAGTTTACTCCTACTAAACACAGTGTCATTTGCGGGGAACATTTTAAAGAAGCCGATTTTCTAAGAAAAGTACCAAAGAAAGTGTTAAAGAATGATGCCATACCGAGCGTTTTTGACTTTCCCGTTCAATTAAAAGTTGAATCTCCAAAACAACACAGAACTATTATTCCACATCCTTTACCAGCAAGGTAACGACCGCAATTCCTATTATTTGCTTTTAAATGAAACTACAGATGTTCATTTAAACATTTCAGAACATTACTTCTTAAAAATACTCAATCGGACGATTGCGACGCCGACCCTATCCCCGATACGGAAGAACCCTCTACTTCTAGTTCTTCCCGTACGTCTTTGAAAAGGTAAATATATTTTTCTAACTGAAATAAACCATATTCATGTGTCATTTATTTAGGAAACTTTATTTTGGAGATTATTCTGAGGAAGACTTGCAATGTCCCAAAAAAGCAAAAATGATGTGGAAATTAGCTTAAAGACAAATTGACAAAAAAAATAGACAACTAAAGATATTACGTATAAAAAACTTTCGACTTCACAAAAAAATCGCATCTTTGGAGAATTTGGTTGGCCATTTAAAAAAACAAAATAAAATATCCGAAGAATGTGAAATTGTATTGAATGTAAGTAAGTTTAGCATGATTGTATGATTCTGTTGTTGCCAGTTGTTGCAGCATTAACTAATAATTTTAACGCAAGAATGGTCATTCGCTCTTTCCTTGCTTATAATAATTTTGTCTATGGCAGGTAGATACGTAGATATATGCACGTGCTTTCCAGAAGGGTGTTTATTTTAATTTTTAAGGTTTTTATTTTTTGAGAATTGTTTATTTTCCAGAAATGGGAGCATCTGTTATAATCTAGGTATAAGCACAGATTACCTTGCTAAGGTAATCTGTGGTATAAGTAATATTTTATTTTTGTAATTTTGTTTTATTATTTCCATTAGGAAAGTCTCGGTGGGATGCAAAAGAAAATGCTTCTTCATCAAACTCGAACACCCGATAGAAAATATGCACCTGACATTCGCAGCTTTGCGTTGACATTACATTTTTATTCAAGCAGTGCATACAATTATGTGAGGAAAACATTTAATAATTGTTTACCACACCCCTCCATGCTGCGAGAACGTATTTCTGCCCCGCACTGTACTGTTGGTTGCCTATCCTATCTTGACAACAGGCGTTTATAGTAAAATCTACGTTACGCGCAGTCTAGTTATATCAAGTCTCTGGAAAATATTAATTCACGAAACTACGCCATGTCATATTTAGTTTTACTCGTGATGGAAAATTTAAAAGCACACCCGACAATAATTTCGTTGATTTGGCGGCACACTTTTCATTTGTAATTCAGCAATTCAACTGTTACATCTTTCGTATACCTTGATTGTGTTGAAACATTCAGTTGAAAGTAAATGTTACGCGATCTCAAATGCTGCGCACGTTCGTCTTGAAAGTTCAGCGAAGAATATTTCTCTCCCACCCAATTTGTCGTAGTCCAAAAACCGAAGCAGACCCAACGCAAACCAAGCTTCGAGAACGTAGGACGTAGGGTCGTCCCTCATGCTTCCGTCAGAACGATCTTTAGAATCTAAATTGGGATCCATCTTGTATGCTCAAAATGGGGTTTCAAACTTTTTCCAAATTTGATAAATCTTCCCCATGAAATTTCATAGGGAAGGTATATTTATCAAATTTGGAAGAAAATCTTTAGAATCGGTAACACGTGGTGTTTTCAATCTTATCTGCTTACACACTTGCTTCTTATCTGAAAGCGCTTCATTTCATCGCATTTTAATTCCGTTCTTTTTCACTATGAAGCGATACACGTATAAAACTTCCAATACTGGAAAATTTATAAATTCAAAACTAAATCTTTCTAAGCCTAAAGACCACCTGTTACACACAGAACACCATGCGTGTTAAACCTATCACCAGATTCAAATGTAGTTGGGCTGGAGAAATCACCTACTGATTGTGGTTGGACCACTAGCCCTCCAGTTACCATGATACAGACCCCAGTTCGTCATCACTGCTACAATTGCTTTCTTGCAAGTGGAAAAAAAGAGCACTCTGGAGTCTGTGACTTTTTGTATAAAGGTCTGGGAAACCTTTTATAGGCTCCCCCGCTCAGTTCTCTAGCGGGGCGTGTGTGCAACTCTCTTCCGCCTTCCGTCCCACTAAGACCCTATCCTATCTCTACTTTAAGGTAGGTGACGTCGAGGGCTCGAAAATAGGTCTCCAGGTGGTAGCCTCTCCTGGCTATCCCTTCTGAAGATCACTTCCGTCAACAGCTTTTGTACGCCGTTCCGGTGTACTCGACATAATGGGAACCACCGTTTCCGTTGTTAGCGGTTCTCTCATATCTCCTGCCGTGCGCCCATCAGTCCGTCAACGTCCCACTTCCCTCCTCTCGCTTTCGCCGTGATCCCAACTAGCGGCAACCCGGAAATCACCATGGCATCGTCCCGGTGTACCGTACGGTATGCGCAACATCCTTTCTGAGGGTCACCACACCCCACTTCGTCTTCTCACTCCATACCTTCGCCGATGCTAGCACTCTCCGCTTGGATGCCTTAGCGCCGCCCCACGATGATCGCCTGGCCGAGCACCTCTATCGTGGCGCCCATACCTTGCTTCCTGCCCGTCATCACCGCCGTTTGTTTTCGTCTGGGACTAGTTTCAATTTCCGACGATCGAACCACGTTGCGATGGTTTCAATTGTCCGTCGTGGGTTAGTAATCGCCAAGTGTTTAGGTCTGTGTCTCACGATCACTGCGGGGTCGTCCGCGACCGCTTTAACGCCTTCGCCGTAATCCATTCTAAAATAAGCACCTCGTTGTACACACCACATTCCACAGTAGCGGCCCGAGGAACTCCAGCACTCGCGTCGAACGTAAACGGTTCACGCGATGGTTTGGTGGCTACCATCTGCCTCCCGCTCAGGTAGTTTTTAAATAGGCGCACTAGCTACCACTGTACACACAACTGCTTCAAAGCGGCTACTATTAAAGATGCCACCAAGCATACATCTCTAGTCCTCCTCGTACCACGGTTTGAATCCCGCACTTCTCCCAACGCGTCCTCGGTAGACCTTTCTCTCCGGAATCCATATTGGTACGGTGACAGCTTATCCCCCATTTGTTCCGTTATTCTCTCTTCCTTAATGACCCTTTCTGCAATTCTGCCCGAGAAGTATTGGTCTGTACTTCCCAGTTGGCTTAGGTATTATCATGACAAGATTCGCCTTTTTCCACCTCCCGGGGTAAACTCCAATCTCCAGGGCCCTGTTGATGATCTGAGTCCAAATCCATGGAGGCGACTGTGCAACCCTCTTGACGATAACCGATAACATTGGCAAGGACCTTATTTACGGTGACTGGAGCTATGTGGGTATCTCCCCTCTCAACTACCAGCCGAATTCCCGAGTGTGTCGAAAACAGACTCCTAGCCGCATACCCGTACGCCTCGTCGGTAAGCCACCGTAGAGGGCTTTGCTTTTTTAACTTTTTCACGAAGATTTAGCAACCCCAAACGTCGCGGTCCAATTCATCTCACAGCCGCCTCCACACCTCTCTTTTGCTTTCGCTGCCTCGTCCTCTCGTTCTAGAGGTGGTCGTACACATCGGAGACGGATCCCCCACTCCTCCGGCGATGCTGGAGCTGCCTTAGTACCCTGATGCACGCACGTATTTCTCCAATATCTTTTTATTTCACCAGTAGACAGTGGGTGGCCGACCCGTCTTCTTCTTGGGCATCACCTCGTCGCAGATGCTTGTTCCAAAACTCCTTTGTCCCAATCTCGTTGCGGTAACGATTCGCCCAACCTCTCTTCTAGTAGCTCCACGTTAAGCATAATATTGGAGTTTCATCCCCTCGCTTATACTCGAACTACTATCCGGAAGCACCACTCGCACGCTATATACCGGTGCTCACTCAAGGTCTCCACCTCATTGACCTTACACTCGCCCACTACGTCCACCAATGCGTTAGAGATCAGGTCGATGAACGAGTTTAGCGGTCTCCTTTCAAATGTAGGAAATTTCCCGTCGATCAGCAGTACGAGCTCCTTCCCATACGCCCATTCTTGTATTATTATGCCCCTGCAGTTTAATGCTCTCTAACCCTACGCTGGGGACGCGCCGTTAAAGTTTCCCGCGGCCATGCAGCTGCTTTTTTCACAGTTTACAATTACAGTCCGAAGAAAATTCTGAATTATTGTTCACTTAGAGTAAATATAGGTGAGAAATCTGGAGCAATATCTGCAATATACAAAAATTAACAATCCGAGGAAGTAACTCTTGAATTTGAATAATTTACATCTGACCTTAATTTAATACTATATTCTCAAAGTAGCCAACTCAATTATATTTAAAAGAAACTCCACACCTTTCCCATTTGTGAAAAATAACATTCCGAAGTCTCTTACATAAAGTAAATGAAATTTTTTGCTAATTAGGGGGACCTTCTCCAATCCAGAAGGTCCTGGATGTCATGGATACGGTAACTTTAGACTGAAGTAAATAACTGTAGCTGTAACTACAAAAAAGGCAACAATAAATTATGAAACCGATCACATTTTTAGACGAAACCTACATCCATCTACCTTATGGAGTGCTTGCTTGCAAAAGATGAACCTGGTGTATATAAAACTAAGTAAGTCTGGAGTATATATTATGAGGGTGGCAAACTTGAGTACCATTATGGGTCCGAACACCTTACTAACGAAATAGATATCTTACTCGGAAGTTTGATGTTTTTATGGACTTTCATAAAAACAATACAAAGTGGATTGTTGCCGATAAGTACCTACCTAGTTGATGGATTAGGGTCTTGTATCGTTAAAAAGATTTGTAACTGCAGTCAAAGTTTAAAAAGAAAGGGTAGTGTGCTACAATGTCATTAGTTCTAAACTGTGACCATGAACCTAAGCATTTGCATCTTTTGGAATTCATAGTGTAAGGAGGGTCGTGTAAATAAAAATCGGCAAATTTTGAGCAATTTAGTGTTTAATAATAAAGCGACGCAGAAAAATATCAGAAAATTCATCTTTTGCACCCATGTGAGAGAGGTGGATAGACATGCGACACCGATGCTTGAACGTCGCTCAACAACACGAACACTACAACGCAGAGAATCGACTCCTCTTTCTTTACGAAGTCGCTGGCGGAGTGAAACATCTCAGTGCCTTTTTAACAAGTGGTGTCTGCATAAGTCTCATCTAAATTGGTCAAGTTGCGCCTCTATTTAATAATAATAATAATAATAATAATAATGTCTTTATTCAACAAGCTAAATAAAAATAATTGTAAACACAACATACAAAACAATAAAATTAAAAAAACTCATATGCTTGTTGAACCCCAAGGCGAAGTTCAGGTTGGTCACAAGTAACCTCCTGCTCTTCCACTTAACCTTGTTTCAATATATATATTTTTATAGATCACCACTTCTAAGTATATGTACCAATTGACTTTTTTCCCTTAATACATTAAAATGCTCTCCTTAGTTTGTGTTGCATTTTTCTGTCTCAGTACTAAGACCAACTATCGTACCAAATGTTTGAAAAATAGTCTCTTGAATGTCTTGTGATCCAAAGTGCTACATTTTAGAACAGACGGAACAGACTTATAAACATATGCGACGTAATAAACAAATGACCGACGAAAAGATGATAGAGAGTGACGAGGTATTGACAATAAACCGCGGTGCCTTAAATTTAAATGATGTACATCTGTTCTAAATTGAATTAGGCCATATAGGTAAGGTGGAGATTGCGTAATAATTATTTTCCGAAAAAAGCATGCCGCATGCAACAGCCGTCGATCGCTCATTTTCAACCAACCCACATCTTTCAACTTATGTGAAATATGCTCCCGCTTTTTGATACCGAAGATAAGCCGTAAACATGAATTTTGTACTTTCTGGATTCGCTTAATATCCACACTATCAATACAAGGACCATAAACAGTATCACAGTATGTGAAATGAGAAAGTACCAAAGAATTACAGAGCATCGCCTTTGTTTTTTGCCCTAATATTTGCCGATTACTGTAAATAATTTTTAAGTTGTAATAAGCCTTTCTAATGCACTCATTAACATGCTGTTTAAATTTTAGGTTAGTATCTAGTTTAAGCCCTAAGTTACGCGACACGTCTGAGCACTGTAAGTTCACATCGTCAATTTTGATATTTAAAGATTTCAGCGCTTT